AATATGCTGAAAATCTCAGAAGTTTTCAAATTTTAAAATGAAGCCATGCGGAAAAGAAACCTGCAGAATGGTTATTTAGTAATAGAATTTCCAAGTTTGGACATTGGGAGTGTTGGTGAAGGTCCTGAGAGAAAGTTTTTAGAGTATATATAGAGTGCTCTCCTGGCAAGGCAGGCCAATTAAAAGCAAGTTACATTCTTTCCCTGTCCTTTCTGCATGCCACAAACCAAAGTCCTTTCTAATGTACCCTCTTAATGTCTTATGTAGATATCTATCCATCCTCTGCGTCCCCAACCCTAAGTTCAGACCCTAATTTTCTCCTGGAGGGATTCAGACTCTAACATCCTTACCTGTCTCTAGTCCTTCCCCCTTTCTAATCCACTTTCACTATTGCTGTGAGCTGGGCTGACGCCATGGCACTCTAGCCTGGGCAACAGAGCGAGACTGTCTCAAAAACAAAACAACAAAAAAATCTCTAATTGGCAAGTCCCAAACTCCTGATCTCATGAAATTGTTCTTCTCATTCCCATATATAGCAGTTCCCATTTGTCCCATCACTAAGGCTAAAAACTTTATTGTCATCCTTAACTACTCTTTTATATCCCACATCTAATCCCTCAGCAAATCTTGGTTTTATTTTTAAAATATGTGCAGAACAGTTCTCACTACCTCCACTGTTACCACCCTAATTCAAGCCACCATCATCTTTTGCCCAGATTATTGAAGTAGCTTCCTGATAGTACTTTTAGCTTTGACCCTTGTCTCCTATAATATATACTCCACAGAACAACAAGAGCAATCCTTTAAAATGAAAGTCAGCTGTCACCTTCCTGCACACAGCCCAGCAGTGGCTTCCCCCTTCACTCAGAGTAAAGCCTAAATTCCTGTAAGTGAGGCTGTTGCTCCAGCACTGAAGCAAGGGGAGGCCACAATCCAGCTTATTGAGCCTCTTGCCAAGTCTGCCCAGGGAAAGGGACATCCTCAAGTCCCTACATCCTACACGATCTGGCAGCAACCTCTCTGACTTCATTTCTTCTCTCCCTTTCTCATTCTCTTCTAGCCCCATGGGCCTTCTTGCTGTCCCTCAAACATGCTGTCCCACCTCAAGGCCTTCGGACTTGCTGTTCCCTTCACCTCAACCATTCTTCCAGGAATCTTACATGACCTACTTTTTTCAGATTTCTGAAATGTAACCTTATCACTCTTTCCTGACTTAACTGCCTTGTATAAAATAGCACTTTCCCACCTTCCTTCCCCTTTCCTCCATACCCTGTTTTATTTTTCTCCATACAACGTACCCCCATCTGCCATATTATATTTTTTACTAGTCTGTTGTCTGCCTGTCTATGCTTGAATGTAACTGTGTAAAATTAGGGACTTTGTTTTATTTTTTTAAGACAGGGTCTCACTCTTTTGCCCAGAGTGGAGTGCAGTGGCATCATCATAGCTCACTGCAACCTCAAACTCCTCGGCTCAAGTGATCCTCCTGTCTCACACTCCCGAGTAACTGGGACTACAGGCGCATGCTACCATGCCTGGCTAATTTTTTCTGTGTTTTTGTAGAGATGGGGTCTTGCTCTTGCTCAGGCTGATCTTGAACTCCTGGCCTCAAGTGATCCGCCTGCCTCAGCTTCCCAAAGTGCCAGGATTACAGGCGTGAGCCACTGCACCCAGCCAGGGACTTTTGTTTCATTCAGTGCTATAGCTCCCATGTCTAGAATAGTGGCAGGCACACAGTCGGTGGCCCCTAAATATTTATTGAATAAATGAATGTAGCACAACTTAAGCATTGCCTAGATATTTTTTCACTAGATGTTTTCCTTAATGTTTCCCTGACCTTTTCCACAGGCTAGTGAGGTGTATCTCCAGGCTTCTGCAGCCCATTGTGCCCACCTCTGGTACACTGTCTTCTCTGTTCTGTAGTGATGGCTCATTTACAAAACCTGGTAGACTTGACTGTAACCCTTGTGACTTGTTTTCAATGTATCCCTAAGTGTCTAGTATGAATTAATGAGTGAATGGTAATCTTAGTTGGTTTTATGTAACTCAGTGGCATTTTATAGATGCCAAAGAACAATCACTTTAGCTGTGTTCTTGTTTGAGGGTACCACAAAGCAAATGTCTTCTGAGCAGACCAGATTGTTGTTCAGTGATTATTGATTGTTCAGCAAATATTTGTTTTGAGTACCCAGGGGAGGGATAATGGGGAATGAGAACATCTTGATTCCTGATCTTGTCAAACTTACAGCCTAACAGGGGAGACAGAAAATACAAATAGGAAGTCTATGATACAGTGTGATTGAATGATAATACCATGATAGGGAAAGTACATGGTACTCTGGGAAAACATAGCAATGGCACCTGACCAAGTTTACGGGAATCTAGGGAAGCGTTCCTGAAGCTGTATAGGCTGAGATCTGGAGAAGGAGAAAAAGCCAAGTGAATGAGAGTGGCAGTATGATTGTGTTTTGAGGTGGAGGGGAGTGGTGACTGTGGGAGGAGGATCTGCAGGGATGGGGAGGGAATTATGCAGGACCCTAAGGTAAGAGAGCAAGTTCACGGGAGTGGGGATGGGGGCTACGGAGAGAACAGAGACATGAAGAGGGTAGATTTAGTCAGAGAAAAAGAGTCATTGGTTCCTAAAGGCCGTTAATAGGCCAAGTAAAGGGACTTGGATTTTATCCTATAGGTATTAGGAAGCCACTGGTGTTCAGAAGTGACCACCCACTGCCCAATGATTACACTCATTCCTTCCTCCTTTGACTTTTATCTTTTACTATTTGAAATTACATTATTTATTTATAATCTATCTCCTCTACTAGATTATAAACCCAAGAAGTCAGGAATTTTATCTTATTTATTGCTGAATTCCTAGTTGTGAAACACTGCATAGTGCTTAGTAGACACTCAATAAATACTGGTTGAATGAATGAGTAAACAAATTGATTTCTCATTTAGGAAAACCGTTGATCCATTTATGGGTTATTACCTTGATGGACCTACTTTATGTTCATTTATAAGTTGGCTTTTATGTTATCCAGTTCAACATGAAGATAAATTTGGTCTTTTAAACTTCAAAATTATTTTGGTGTTTCCTCATCTATATATGACCTACAGGCAGTATCTACAGGCTGTATTTGTTATTCCAGATAACCAGGTATTAATTTTGTTGCCAAAATATAGGAAATTTGATTTAGACATTTGCAATAGTGAAATGTCCAACAGTGGGGGAATAGTTAAATAAAATTATGGAATATCATACCATGAAATCTTTTAGAAGTGATGTCTTTGAAACTACTTAACAACATGGTAAAGTGCTTTTAATATTAAGTGAAAAAAATTAAGATACACAACTGAATATAGAGTCTGATCCCAATTTTTATAACTTAAAGACTTGAAGGAAATATTCCAAAATATTAAATAGTGATTATCTTTGGGTAGTGGGATTCTGGATGATTTTCATTTTTTTTCTATTAATTTTCTTTGGTTTATAGTTTCCAAATTTTATACAATGACTATATACTTGTGTAACTGGGAGAAAAGTTAAAATGTTTTGCCTTGCCAGGCATTTTTAAGCAAGCCAAGGGTTCTCTTTGCTTTTAATGTGAATAGATCTTAGGAACCAACTTCTGTATCCTGTATCCAACTTGGTTGGATAATGATTCTTTACTAAAAGCAGTGTAATGCAGCTGCTTGAAAACTATACTCCGAGAGATACTATTTGACATCGTCGATGGATGGATTTTAGCAAAAGTCCTGACCTCTTATTCTGTGGTTATCTTTCATAATAAAGATGAGAATTTTAATAAAGATTATTATAAAAATAATTATTTATAGCTATTGCGTGCTGGATGACTGTGACTAGGCCAGGTAGGCACTGGAGTAGAGAAGTATTTAACCTTGTTCGTATCATCAGAAGGCTTACAAACTAGTTATCCCACATGAAACAAATGAAATACTAAACCTTTTATTAGAAAGTGTTGAGTTAAACATAAGAAACCATCATATGATACATATGAGAGGATTTGTGGTTGGCTAGGAAGAGAAGAGCTCTTAACTGACTGGTGTTCGGTGTGTCTATCCCACAGGTGCTATAGCACATGCAGTAGAATACCATAGACCTTTAATTCATAGGTTGAAATATTTATCTCAGAGACAGATCCATGAGAAATTTTTTTTCTGAAACAAACATTTTTTAGATCAATATTTGACTTAATTTTTTAAACCTTTGGATTAATTGATGGTCTTTTTTTCTTTCAGGCTTACGAAGTTTGGGCTTTGTTGCAAAAGCAGGTCAAGATTTAACTTTTATCTGGTGAACAAGTGTGCAGATTGTGACGTATGTCAGTCCAAGAAATAAATAAACATGCAGTTCTCCCTCCTATCATTAGTAGAAGTGACAAGGAATTTTTGGAAAGTATGCAAAGATACATTATTACAGAAACTGAAAGAGTGGGCTGTAATGAGGAAGGACCTGCTGATGAATATTACATCATATACCGAAACGTTTTTGATAAGGTATCATAATGCTTTTAAGACAATGAAATTTTCATGAGAGTGGAAATGATCTATCTTGACAACTAATATTCCTGCCTTAGTAACACCACTGCTTGGTTGACCACATTCCATTTGTCAGTTTTGAGAAGTTCATCCAATTTGTCAGAAAGAGATGAATGGGGAAATGCAGTGCTGCCTTTATTTTACCTGACTGTTATTGAGTGTTTCAGTTATTTTAGCTTAAGAGCAGGCCTTTAGTTTTTGACCAACAAACTGGCTGTGCCCTCTGATGATAATTTTAACCCTTCTATTTGAAGGTATCACCTGATTTGTTAGGAACTGGGCTACAAGCAGGAACTTGGGAGTTCTTTGTTTTGGATTGTTTTGTGATATGATTATAATCTTGGTTTAGGCTGGGCACGGTGGCTTGTGCTGTCATCTCAGCACTCTGGGAGGCCGAGGCAAGAGGACCACTTGAAGCCAGCCTGGGCAACATAGCAAGACCCTGTTTCTATAAAAAACTTTTTAAAAAATTAGCCGGGCGTGGTGGTGTGCACCTGTAGTCCCAGGTACTCGGGAGGCTGAAGCAGGGGAGGATTGCTTGAGCTTAGGAGTTTGTGGCTGCAGTGAGCTATGATAGAGGCTTTATACTCCATCGTGGGCCACAGAGTCAGACTCTGTCTCTAAAAATATTTTTTTAAAATATCTTGGTTTAGGCCGGGCATGGTGGCTCACACCTGTAATCCTAGCACTCTGGGAGACTGAGGCAGGCAGATCGTTTGAGCTCAGAAGTTCGAGACCAGCCTGAGCAAGAGCGAGACTCCATCTCTACTAAAAAAGAAAAATAGAAAGAAATTGGCTGAACAACTAAAAATATAGATATAAAAAAATTAGCCGGGCATGGTGGCACATGCTTGTAGTCCCAGCTACTCCAGAGGCTGAGGCAGAAGGATCGCTTGAGCCCAGGAGTTTGAGGTTGCTGTGAGCTAGGCTGACACCACGGCACTTTGGCCCGGGCAACAGAGTGAGACTCTGTCTCAAAAAAAAAAAAAAAGAATCCTATTCTTCAGAATTGAGAGGGGATCTGAAATGGAAAACATTTGGTACTTGGAGAAAATTTTCATCTAGCTTTTCAACAAATAATCTGCCTCTTTCAATTTCACATTATTTTAGCACATTTGACTGTTAATGAACTATTAATGACTGTCTTTTCTGATCTTCCTACTCTCTAGAAAGGATGTAGTTGGGCAGAAAATAAAAGTGTCAACTTGCAACTCTGGGTACTTGGAACCGAAGAACAAATAGCAAATTGTGTTTAAAATCAAATGTCCGAATCAAAGCAAGGAGAGCTTGAGACTCATACCAAGAGTTGGGGGTAACTTGTAGAGCAAGCCAAGAACCTAGTAAGCAAAGAAGAACAAAGCTAGGAAGAGTGAGCCTTTATAGAAATGGGTGACATACGGAGACAACTGGACTCTGGAAAGTGGCTCGCCTTTTGTATCCCTGTAGCATGTTGTACAAATAGTTGAGATCCATATTTAGGAGCTTAGTTGGAATGAATATCATTCCTCTTCTTTCTCTGACTCCTGTACCAGGTAATTATAGCTATGGTTTTCTTAGGTGTAATGGCAGCCTTAATATAGGGGTCTCAAACTCGAATGACTGCAGAGGCCAGCCAAGTGGTGTAAAGGACTTAAGTGGGCTGGCTATAAGAGAATAAGGAATGGTGGGGATTTTGGTCAAATGAAAAACCAGCCTAATCTAAAGCTTCTGCTATTGCCATTAAGGAATGGGGGTTCCATGTTGCTAGATTTTTCAGAGTTTTAGGAGAAGCTGAAAATACCGTTTTGGGATGAAATTTCCTAAGTTTTAAAGTATTTTGTGGGTCAAGCAAAATTACCAGCTGTTTTCTCCTGGTTTGTAGCATGCTGGTTTGCATCCTCTAAGGCATTTTCTGTGCCTCGTTAAAGGTTCCCATGAGTGCTCTTCTGAAATCTGTTTCTTCTAGCAAATAGACATGAGATCTGACCATGGTATCACAATAAGTCTATTATCTACCCATTAATGTATCTGAGTTGTCTTGGATTGTTGGAGCACATCACAAGAGTACGTGAAATGGAGGATGGCCAGGAGCAGCAGGGTGCTTAATTTAGAAGGCCACAGATTCATGACCTCTATTTTATTAAAGGTTCCTGAGATGGATAGGTAGTATGGTCATGTCAAAAAGACAACCATATCTCCCACTCAAATATCCTCTCCTGTAACTTGCCACTGATCAATAATCTCCTTATATCATTTCTTGATAAACCAGGTGTCTTCCTGGATAACTTTTTCTAGGTAATTGTCTAGGTAAAGCAAACCAGTGGAGGATACCAGAGGCTAGAGAAATGTAACAAGAATAGAAAGCAGCTTTTAGAGAACATTATGGATTGATCTATTTCAACTTATTTAAAAATGTAATGATTTATTTTTACATTGGTAATGCATACACAAGATTAACAAAAAATAAATTAGTAAATAAACCAATAAAGGAATGTACAATGGAAAGTCAGGCCTTTTTCATCTCAGACCCTGATAACCCCTTCTCTGCAGGCACTTAGTGTTACTGTTTTTGTTTTCTTCTGTTATCCTTTCAGAAATAATCTGTGCTTAAACACCATTAGAAACCATGAATATATAGTGATGAGGTTTTCTTTTTTAATGGTTGCAGTTGACATTTTGGGAATAGAAATGCAGTTAGGAATTGAGAGTATTGATCAGCCAGTAGGAGCTGATAGGTTAGAAAAATAAGGAAGTGAAGGGAGTCGAGGATTTTAAGATTTAAATGAAGTCAGAGACTAGATTTGGAGGGAGTAAGAGAAGATATATAATTATATTTAAAAGATCCAGAATTGGGATAATTAGAACTAGTATTAGTTTTAACTGACATAATGTATGTGTTCATACCAAGTAGAACACGAATGAGGCCTTTCTCTCTCTCTCATATTTAAGCTCACATTATCTGTTGTAATGATCCACAAAGAGTACGTATTTGGTAAATACTGTCTTTAGTGTCCAGTATGTTTGAGCTTGCTGTAAAATTTTTAGATTTCTAATTGCTAATCATGTTTCATTTAAAAAATAATCTATAATGCTATTTGTAAGCCTTTTGATCCATAGTCTTCTAGAAAAAAAATTCAGTACCACAGGCAGAAAAATCATATTTCAGGTAATAGAGTATGTCACTGCATACAAATCCATTCTTACTTCAATCAAAAAAGAATATGATGCCTTTATTGAGACCTTAAAGAAAGACCAAAGAGCTGCATTTTATCTTCATGGAAAGCTTAAAGTTTTGGCAGCAGAGCCTACAGCTTTGGTATATCACAGGAAAAGAATAATCCAACTCGAAGCAAAGTGAGTATATTAGTGACTAGCCCAAAAGGTGATAATTGTTGCTTGATTATAATACTAGCCAGTGTAACTCCAGCCAGTGGCTGTTAATCTTTTTCGATTTCAATTTTATTTTAAAGCCATGTTTTTATGTTACCCTCTCCTACTAACTTGAAATTCCTGTATTTGTTACTTATTTCAAGTAAAAAAATATGTATTTTGTTTGAGAATTTTATGATACCTTAATACAGTGGTCTCCAACCGTTTTGACACCAGGGACTGGTTTCATAGAAGACAATTTTTCCAAAGAAGAGGACAGGAAGATGGTTTTTGGATAATTCAAGTGCATTATATTTATTGTGTACTTTATTTCTATTATTATTACATTGTAATACATAACAAAATAATTATGCAACTCACCATAATGCAGAATCTCCCATCCAAGTACTAACCAGGCCCAACCCTGCTTAGCTTCCGAGATGAGATGAGATCGAGTGCACGTTCAGAGTAGTATAGCTATAAACCATAATGCAGAATCTAATGCTGCTGATCTGACAGGAGGTGGAGCTTTTGTGGTGATGTGAGCCATGGGGAGCAGCTCTAAATACAGATGAAGCTTTGCTTACTCGCTCACCACCCACTGCTCACCTCCTATTGTGCGGCCTGGTACCTAACAGGTCATAGACCCGTTGGGGACTTCAGTTTTAATATATTTGGAGGCACATTGTAATATCATAAAATGAGGGATGTAGGTAATTGCTCCAGGCAATTTCTTGCATGGAAGATTTGATAGTACAATTTCATGATTACTGTCTAAATTAGAGCACCTGAATCCTGTGATGCACAAAGGTAAGTAACCTACTGGGATTGGATAAAATGCTCACTATTATAGGGTAGTCTTACATTTTCAGTGTACATTTGGTAAATGACAGATAAATTATTTTCACAGATAATTTTAAATCAACTTGGAAAATTATGCAAATTTGACTCCATTTCTGGTAATACGACTGGCTAGATGTTGGGATAGACATTCCTCTTGGGGAAAAGTACTACATTAAATATTTTTACAGCCGGGCGCGGTGGCTCACGTCTGTAATCCTAGCACTCTGGGAGGCCGAGGCAGGTGGATCATCTGAGCTCAGGAGTTCGAGACCAGCCTGAGCAAGAGTGAGACCCCGTCTCTACTAAAAAAATAGAAAGAAATTAGCTGGACAACTAAAAGAGAATAAGGAATGGTGGGGATTTTGGTCAAATGAAAAACCAGCCTAATCTAAAGCTTCTGCTATTGCCATTAAGGAATGGGGGTTCCATGTTGCTAGATTTTTCAGAGTTTTAGGAGAAGCTGAAAATACCGTTTTGGGATGAAATTTCCTAAGTTTTAAAGTATTTTGTGGGTCAAGCAAAATTACCAGCTGTTTTCTCCTGGTTTGTAGCATGCTGGTTTGCATCCTCTAAGGCATTTTCTGTGCCTCGTTAAAGGTTCCCATGAGTGCTCTTCTGAAATCTGTTTCTTCTAGCAAATAGACATGAGATCTGACCATGGTATCACAATAAGTCTATTATCTACCCATTAATGTATCTGAGTTGTCTTGGATTGTTGGAGCACATCACAAGAGTACGTGAAATGGAGGATGGCCAGGAGCAGCAG